TTCCTGACTCCCCAACTCCATTCGTTTATATGGTGCTAACTAGCCCCGTTACTCGTCAGATTCCGGTCGGGTCCGTGATTGTAGGCGAGTGTTGGGCCCAAATCGTCGCCAACGGAGAGTCTTACAGCGACGCTGATTCCCCATACACTATGGTGCAGGTCGGGGACTGGGGCGAAAAGGGGAGCGTCGAGATCCAGGATCTCGTCTTCACCACAAAGGGCCCTACACCAGGCGCAGTTCTGATGGAGTGGAACATGGCCCAAGACCTGCAGGGCTCTGCTGCCATGTGGGACTCGCACTTCCGCATCGGCGGAGCGATGGGTACCGGCCTGACTGCTGCCGACTGCCCCAAGCTCACTGGTACTATCAATCCGAAATGCGTTGCCGGGTCCATGTTGCTCCATATGACTGGGGGCTCGTCGGGCTATCTGGAGAATGTGTGGGCGTGGGTGGCGGACCACGACTTTGACAGCGGCCCGGCACAGACCCAGATCGATATCTACGTCGCTCGTAGCATCTTGATCGAAAGCAAGGGCGGCCCTGTCTGGCTCTACGGAACCGCGTCGGAGCATTGCGTTTTTTATCAGTATCTCCTCTTGGAAGCACAGGACGTGTTTATGGGCAACGTAAGTGCCGGCGTTTGGCCCAAGTCTTCCAAGCCCTTCCTTCTATCATTAGAGACTTGTAGGCCTAACAATCATGTCGAACCAGATTCAAACAGAAAGCCCGTACTACCTGCCAAAGCCCAAGGCGCCTGCCCCGTTCACGGACCAGGTCGGGCTCTTCAACGGGGATCCCGACTTCAGCGAGTGCCCAGAGTCGGAGCCGCACTGCGTAGCTGCCTGGGCATTGATGATTTCAGGGTCAACCAACGTTCATATCTTTGGCGCGGGGTTGTATAACTGGTTCGACGACTACACGCAGGACTGCATCGACACGCAAACCTGCCAGAAGCATCTCGTCCACGTGGAAGAGAGCGGACAGATCTGGTTCTATAACCTCTATACCATTGGGTCAGCCAACATGATTGACGCAGAGGGGTCCGATCCCATTCCGGCCAAGGACAACATCAACACCAACGAACATCCGTTCACCTCCGTCATTAACGCATGGCTGCTGTCTTCTTCCGGATCGTGAGTCTCACAGCGGCGCCACATTGTCCATTTGTGTCCCACCATGAAGCCGGACATCCCAAGTGCTAACTTGTAAACAGCGGAAATGTCGACAACGACCTGGCAGACCAGGTTATCCTGGGCACAATGCTCCCACCTTGCCCATCCAAATACGACACGCTGGAGAATGTCGAAAAGTCCAAGTCGAGCATCCCGCAACACTGTCTCGACAAGTACCTCCTTCAGACGCAGCTCAACACCCTCGGCACTGCCCTTTCTGACTATAACAGCATCTTGAGGGACGGGTACGACGACAAGTTCAAGGCCTATCAAAGGTCAGTCTTGCAACAAGTCCCAGACCAGATCAACAAGTTCATGGAGGGGGCCCAGGCCTCGGGCAACTGGACCTGTACCGAGACTCGGACCGTCATCTGCTGCAGAGGTTGCCAGAATCATGCGGCGTGCACGAACCCCATGTGCGACTTTTCCACCGACTGCAAGCCCGGCACCACCAAGAAGACAACTACCGTCGACTGCCCTGCGTCCATATCAAACAACTTACGTGAGCAGCTGTCGGTCCCCGTCGAGACGACCTACACGCTCAAGAACGAGCAGGGCTTCTGGGAGGGCCTGATGGCCGCGTACGGCATCCCACAGGACTGGGTCAACATTGGGGAGCGGCTTGCGTACTTTGGAAAGGGCTGCGAAGGCGTCGCAGGCGACAGGACGTCGCCGGACACCTCGACCGAGTGCTTCAAGAAGTCATCCGTCTACTGGCACAACTTCCCGACGATGAAGCCGGGCGCGGCCATGGACGACCCCAAGGACAGCGTCAGCAAGTCTTACGACACGTTCAAGAACATCTACGACCGCGCCACCGTGTCCCTCGGGTTCGCCCAGTGGAACCTGTACGAGGCCAGCTCCACCGACATGCTGGCCACCGCGGCCCTGCCGGCCATGCTCCTGACCGACGCCGTCGACAACATGCGCCAGATCGCCAAGGCGGGCGAGGACATCATTGAGCGCGAGCGCAAGCAGAACATCCTCTTCTGGCTCAACATGGTCCTCATGATGATCCCCGCGGCCGGACAGGTGGCCAGCAGCCTGGGCCGCGTCGCCATCGCCGTCGCCCTCCGCGTCGTGGGCGAGGCCGTCACCGCCGCCCTGACGCTGTACGAGCTCGTCGACGATCCAAAGAACGCCCTGATGACCATGATGGGCTTCTTCCTCGGCGGCGGCCTCTCGCGCCAGCCCTTCCGCGAAGCCGCCGCCGCCCGCCGCGGCATGCCCAAGTCGCAGTTCGAAAAGCTGCCGCCCAGGATCAGGACGGACCTGGGGCGCATCCAAACCGTTAGGAACGTGTGCCGCGCGCGTTCGTAGTGGAGATGACGACGACTGCCTCCTGGGTGGTATGGTATCTCTTGACATAAAACTCCATCTGTTCTCATTTTGTCTCCTTTTTCTTTTCGTGTACAACAGCCGATGCCGGCTTTAATAAGGTCTCGCGGTTTAGATGATGATTCCGCCTCCAGCACTGCCGGTGTCCGCCATCCGACCTATTGTTAGAACAATCTAATCTTGAATGGCATTTATTTCCAGGAGAGACCTGCGACCAATCGCGGGATAGCCATCGACATGATGTTTGTCATATGGATGTCTCCGGACCAATGTATCTGGACACGATACCCCTGCAATACGACAATAGCGCAGATCATCGGAAAAGACACCCTTCCTCTTGTATTGAGTCCAGAAAGAAGCTATCCTTGATCCCTAGTCCCCCAGGCACGCCAACGGCGCTCTGATAATCGGAGCAGGGCGTGTGTACACTACGTACCTCATCGTGTTGGCAACGTGAATCCAGACTAGACGCTTCCTTTGTCCCCCCCCCCCCCCCCCCCCCCCCCCCTCCTAGACATACCACAGAATTGCCAGCCCTGGACACCCAACTTGGTATACAGCAGATGCCAGGTGGGTGGATAAATGCACCGAGGGGTGCTTGGCGTTGTACACCAATACGCTGAGATGTAATCATTGCGAGACATGACTGCAGAGCCATTTCCTTGGAGGGAAACCTGGCCCCTGCATGCGGATACCACCAAAAGGCCCGTCGCATATGCCCAAGGGTTCATGGATGTGAAAGGACCAGCCACGTTGAAGCCAACGCCAACCTAGTACCGTCACTGTCGACGACTTGGCCAACCATTGGCAACTGTCGTTCATCTCCCACTACCACATCCACAGAGTTGCTTGCTTGGCGGAATGGTGGAAATTGAGGAATAGCTTGTTTTGCCTTCCGTAGACTGCTCCCCTGATGCCACGCCTCTTCCCGGGCAACGACTATGAAGCTTCATGTTGGAACAGACCAAAACCTAAAGCCTTGCTGTCTGTTAAAGTACGTCCACACAGCTGCCGCTCATGATACTGACTGTTTCTCATTCATTCTCTTGCCCCATTCAAATCTTCATCGGCCCTTTCTGCAATATGAATGGGCATTTCGACATACTGTGCGCTTTGTGCGCTGCCCTACTTTCGTTTTCTTCGCTGTTACCGCCCCTGTTCAAACAGCCTCGTATGTTCATCAACGCAGCTACTTCCTCCACTCTTAGCCTAAGATCACTCTTGGGTTTTCTCCTCGGAATACATATTCGAGGCTGTCCCCGCTTTTGTAGAAGCAGCGAAACATTCCAGGCTCTCAGATGCCTTACCTCTTTCTTCTTCAATCATCTTTACCCTAGCGTACGCTGTACAGCTAGAGAGTCTTTACTACACAGGACCAAAGATACTCTCAGATGTCTTCTTAGGCTTTTAGTTCATCAATATTTAGTTAGGAATCATCAGAGAGAGAACGTTGCTAGCCACCAAGTATCACTCTATCCAACATTTCTTCACCAGTCTTCTAGTCACTGCCACCAAAATCCTCGATCTCACAGCACTTATTTTGCATAATTCCAGGGTGAGAGCAAGGTCAGGAGATCTTAAGACCATACCAGAAGGCGAGAAACGCGACGATTCTGCCCCTTTCGCAGAAACCAACACCGAAGCCAACCGCAAGTACGGCAAATTCGACCAAGATGCACATACAGAGATGAAGGAGTTGGGAGGATGGTGGCCATGGCTTCAAAAGTTCTCTGTCTTCTGGAAAATATTTCTGGCCGGGTAGTGAACCCTAGTTGCAAAGCACCATTATCTTTACGATATTGCTTGCCTTCGCCATCAAGATATTAACTATCTTATCCTCCTATTACCTCAGACATCTTGTCACCAAGCTATCAGAAGCTGTAAAGAGGTCGAAACTTCGAAGCGCTGAGGTTCTTCCACTATGCCTAGGGTTAAAAATCACTTACGCTTCGACCACCCCAGGCGCCATTCCGAATCTCCAAAGCTATCTGTATACAAAGGTCAAGATTTTTCGCAGCGGGAAACTCCATCGCGCATTTCATAGAACAGCCATGAGTCTCGATTTCTCTTTTCACAACACAATCAATCCACCAGACATCAGACATGATGCGAATCACGAACGATTCAAAGGGGCTGTTAGACGCACTGGACAACGTCTGCTTTGTGGTTGTACTAAACATGATCATGCTGGCGACTTCAGCTACCTTTTTGATCAGAAAACATCAGCAGTTTATGGCCCTCAATCTTCTTGTGCTTGTGGTTAGCTACTTCATCACCCAAAGACGTACAGCCAAGAATCTCCTAAAAGAACTAGACGACTATTATGCTTCCCTTAGAAACATAGAAGCATATTATTGTAAAAGTATTTAATACTAGGAGATGATTACGAGTTATAGCAAGACAACCACCACGATTAAGCAACACGGCTCAAAAGTAGATGCATGGGTTAAGCAGTGGGATAGGTATCTTATCTATTTCTACATTGGTGAATTTTCAGCTAGTATGGTCTAGATTTCAACCTTTACCTTTGGGCTACTACTCATCCTTAATGACATCTTTAACGAAAGGGCTACCCCTAGCGACCTTATCGCTTTTGTAGGGTACTGGTAAAACATCACTACGTCTCTAGTAAATTATAAGGAAACTAAGACTAGCATCTTAGAAAAGCTCCTTAGAGCTACTTGTGGAAGACGTCTCCTTGAGATGCCGGTCCAGGTCGAACATGGCCCAGATTTTGACTTTCAAGGTGGCGCAATAGATTTTACAAATGTCGAATTTAGCTATGAAGGGAAGAAGGATTCTACGTTGAACGGTCTCTATCTCCAGATCGCAGCAGGAACGAAAGTTTCAATTATCGGAAAATCAGGATCTAGTAAGTCGACAATGCTAAAACTACTGCTAGGACTTCTGGAACCCAGCAGCAGGTATAGACAAGTCAATAACCAGAAGGTCGAAGACATCAGCATCTCATCGTAAGCTAAACCTTCCAAACTATCTATAGCCCCTACAAACTGATATTTCTCTCCAGACTTCGGTCTCACATCAGAATCGTTGCCCAGAATGCGCGTCTTTTCAATCAAAGCGTTATGGATAATATACGATGGTTTGCCAACCAAGATGTCACCGACGTAGAGGTTAAAAACGCTTGCCGGCGCGCGTGTATTCATCAAACTATCAAGTCGCTTCCGGATGGTTATAGAACAAAAATAGGAGATGATGGACAGTGAGTTCCCGTTCGAAAGGGGTTTCTATCCTCATTACTAATTCTCTACCTTAGGAACTTATCAGGCGGCCAAAGACAAAGATTGTTGATCGCACGCCTGTTCCTTCAGAACCCAGATATTGTAGTGTTGGACGAGGCAACGAGTGCCCTAGATGTTGACACCAAGGCCTCTGTTCAGAAGGCCATCCGCGAGGCATTCCTTAACATGACTGTGATACAGATTGAGTGAGTCGCTTGACAGAAAGCATTTGGACATCGTTCTAAACTCACTATATAGGCATGATTTTTCAAGTACCGAGTCGGCCGATAGCATTTTCGTGCTAGCAGAAGGATGTTCAGTCCTAAGGCACTCACAAGTCCCTTCTACAAATGAATGGCCACTATGCAGAATTATGGAAGCAGCACATTAGAGAATTGGAGTCTTGAGCCGGAAAGAAATTCATTGCGAAGTTCCGGCGGCATTTCCACGGATGGTTGGGAGGACGTAGCCATGATTGAAAGAGAGAAACGGACTTGTTGGAATCAGCCAGCTGGGGACAGCTTAGAAGCAGAGAGGGGAAGAAGGAGGCGAATAGGGCGAGGTAGAGAATGAGAGAGTAAGAAAGGGGGGAGAGGGAGGGAGGCAGAGGGGGGTAAACATAACTTACAAGCTATGATAGGTGCCAGGAGCACGTAGTTATGGTACATGCCGAAATAACGCTCAGTGACTCATGCCATATGCCAGTCACAAGCTTCACCTCGTACATGTATGTAATAGGGTGTAGGGATGTAACATCGGCCTTCAAAGCTATGGGCCGTTTCCAAGTCTAGCTGATCAAAGAGTTGCATGGCCAGCTTTTGGTGAGACGCACACGCCGGGCATAGGCTTTGTTCAATCCCCTGTACTGGTCGCTAAGACCCAAAATTTCATGCCAGGGAAGGATGAAATCACCAGAGCCTATCACCCGTTGTCGATCGGACACGCGGCAGCCTTCAAGAGACTCACTCCTGCTCACCTCTGCGTCAACTGGCAGCCTGCTAAGGCAGAAACTGTCCTCATGCCTTTGAGAGCCTTTCTCAAGGCAGCAGCTGGTCTTCTTTATCTCACTAAGGATCTTTGCAGGAGTAGAAAGATAAGGATTTGGCGAAGGACCACTCTATCGTAATAAACCATGTTTCTGTCTTATGTTTCAATTACACAGGCGGCATCGATAACCTTGCACTTTCTCTCATTATGACCGCTTGGGTTATCATCGTTGCTGTCTAACACCCAGTAGGAAGTGGGAACCTTGGCTTAGGAAATGGCAAGTGCCAAGAGGTCGTAAACCAGGCGTTATGTGGAGGTCCTCCCACGGCCTGAGAAGATAAACACGTCTGCTGCGCGACAGACGAGCACTCTCAGCGTATGCATGACAACAGCTATTGTTTAGATGAATGCAATGTTTGGGACATAGTACACCCCTGTAACGATATGGTTGGCTCTTATCGCTGTGGCGCCTGGCACGTATACCGATGTTAACTGTACTGTTGGTCCTGGAAATTTATTACACAGAACTAACAAACTAATCAAATAATCCAAAGGTCGGGTGCAAATAACCGTTTTGCAGCCGAGTCTTGGTCGCGCCGTACTTGAGCGTATCATGCATGTACTTGAACGCTTCTTCTGGCACCGGCTCATTTCTAGCTGGCCTTCCTTCAGTGATCTACCCCGCATCTCACATTCCCTGAATTATTGGCATTCAGCCTCCCGCAAATGGGTAGCCATCACCTTTGTCGGCGTGCGCGTCATCTGTACCCATCCCGGATGTGACGAGCCGCCATGACTGAGAACGAAAGGAAGTGTCCCTGAGAAGAGCGAAGGGAGCACTTTGCGAACTCTGTCAAGTTGGACGCAAAACGAGGCGGAAGTGATGGAACAAGAAGTTCAACCCTGGACTGAAAGTCCTTCAACAGGGTGCTGATGCTGTCTGGAGGCAATGGCCGATTGTTGTCCCATGACTGCGCAAAGAAACTATTCCCCAATTAGCCCTGGTTGCATCACGGCGATAAACATCCGAGCACAGCTTCGGCTGGCTGGAGAGCAGAGATATTGCGCGCAATAATATAAGCAGTCCCAGGAAGTCTGTCCATCTCGTAGATGTGGAGTGACCGCGATTGTCCAATGGTTCCGTGATACTCACACCCAGAAACAATTCTCGGGTGAACTGCTTTGGCCAGGCTCATGATTTCCATGTCCATCTCGGAGTCCTGGACTCGAAACTGAAAGAGTTTAGACTCGTTAGACCCGGCCGTGACAGTATAGCTGAATGTTCCCTGTATCTGCACTGGTTTGACCGGTCCACGCTGTAATAAGTAGCCATGATGGTGCATAAAGTACGGAGAAGAATGGGAAGAAGTGATGAATAGCGTTGGTATCGATGTGGGTTCTGGTGCCTATTACAGTCTGTTGCGTTAGCAGCGTCCAAAACCTAAAAACGTCTGTACACCTATGTTCCCTTTAGAATATCAAGACCAGCTCTAGCTTATTAATTCTAAAATAAATATTATAAAGACCTTTATATATTAAAGTATATATATACTTATTCCTTACTTACCTAGATCTTTTTTGATAGAGATATATGCTTTAATACCTTTACGTTACGTTAGTAGTGTCTAGACACTGTTAACGAAACTGTTGCACTGACAGTGACCTAGCCAATCAGAGGCCTATAAAATTCTCCTCTCCCAGCCTCTGATTGGCTAGAACTGGACGCTGCCAATACAACAGACGCTGTCAACGCAACGGACTGTATTATAGACGAAACAGGTGTCAAATGCGTAGAAATAACACAGCGATTGGCTGGGGAATAGTTAGTGAACAGTAATTCTCATCAAACGCCCTTGCATGAGAATCTGAACGCACCAAAAACAGGGAACTAGACCAATTAGAGGCTAGGGATTTACTGGAATTTTACTATAAAGGGATAGCCTCATTTTTAGAATTCCCATACAAGTATCTAGATACGCACACATACATCACCATTATCATCAATATACACACCATTACAATCCCTACAATTGAACAGTAATTCTCATCCAACGCCCTTGCATGAGAATCTGAACGCTGTATGAGGGCGAGAGCTGGAGACGAGTATGACACCCGTGCTACGGTTGTCGACGCATCCACGAAAGGCTCTTCAACGATGATCGGACTCACGTCGCACTCTCACAACATCTTCCTCAACCTCACGTAGCATTGCCTAGGCTTGACGGTCAACCCATCGTAGGACTCATAACTCGAAAGCTCGGGCGGGCACTGCAGAAGCTCAAAGTTCCAGAAGAACAGCGCCGTGAACATGCGCAGCTCGAGATATGCCAGCCGTCTCCCAAAGCAGGCCCTCGGACCCAGACCGAATACCATGTGCGGTCCGGCGGTAGGATCGAACACCATCCCATTGGGGCCCTCACCTGGGACGAGCCATCTCTCCGGCGCGAACTCGGCGGGCGGATACGTGGAAGAGTCCCAGCTACGATTACGACTAGTGGCGTCAAGGGCCGACTTGGTCCGGTTCGATTCGGGAATCTCGAAGGCGGGTTTCGTGACGCTCTGGCCGACAGTAACCATGATGACACTTGTGTTCTTGGGAATGTGGTGACCAAGAATCGTCGTGTCCTGCATGGCTAGCCGCTCGGTGCCGGCCGTTGTGCCGCTACAGCGCAGGATCTCCTCCATCGTGGCGTCTAGGTAGGGGATGCTGGTCTTGATGATCTCCTCGCATGTCGGCTGACGATTCTCAGCAGTTGCGACAACCAGATGCTTGCGGAGCTCTTCGCGGAGCACTTGTTGGGCATGCTGTTTGTCGGCCATGTACTTGATGCCCCATGCGAATGTCGTTGCAGAAGATTCGTGACCGGCCATGAGGAAACCAAAGATCTAGTTGGAAAATGGTGTCAGCAGAGTCCCGCGCAATAGTCGTGGCAATGACGTCCTACCTCGCTATGCATTCCTATCGAGTCGAACTCGGGCTCTCGACCTTCCTTTTCGGCAAACAGCTTCTCCCGGTATATCATATGGTCCACTGCTGATGAAACAGGCTCCTCCCCCTGCAGTTTCTTCACGGAATTATTAATCTCTCGAGTGATCACGTCGTCTCTGATCATCTTGGCCTTCTTGATCCGCGCAGTCTGAAGAAGGCTCCACGAACGGAGCTTCGGCATTACTGACCTGCTCGTCTCCTCCGCAGTTTCCGCCAAGTCTAGAATCGCCTGCGCCACTTCATTGATCTTTCCTTCACGGAACACGACAGGGTCGTTGGATCCAGACGACGGTGGGACCTCGGTTGATGAGGACACGAGGTCAATCCTCGCAGGAATCGACCTGTGCCCAAAGCTGCCCCCGAACGAAAACGCCAAAACGGCATCCAGAGCTCCAGCGTAGATATCCTCAAATGCCGAGAACGGCCGATCCCGCGCGAGACGATGCTTATGCTCCCAAAGCTCGACAACTTTCAGCATGCTCTGGTATATGGGTTCTGCGGCAACATTATGCAGGAAGGTCGGCGTCATGAGATCCTGTAACCACTTTCGCTGCTTCTTGAAGAGAGGATTTGATGTCTTCATGAGGAGATGCCACTGCGGAAACAAATGTCCGAATATGCGGCCGAGGGAGTTACCTCGGTCAAAATGCTTGGTTCGGCGCATTGAAATGTCTTCCGCCTCGCGAAAGTCGGTGATGACGACTATAGGCTTCGAGAGGGGCCCCATCAACAGCTGAAAGATGGGAGACTTCAGGCCGTCACACTGAGAGGCGATCCATCCCGACATGGACACACCCTGTTTTTGGCTGGCGATGAATGAGGCGACATCACCCATAAGGGACTCGGTGGCACTCTTGTTGTGTGGTATTCCGGGAAGTGGTTTAGGAAGCAATCGAAGGTAGAGCAGGTACAAGAAGGCCACGCCTGCGAATGCGAGAATAGTAGAGGTGGGAATGCTGGACGATTTAAAGACGATCATGATGGGAATCTAGGTAGAAAAGGGGGGGGGGGGGGGGTCGGGATGGAATTACGAGGGGTTCACAACTTATGGTACCAACACAGCCTTATGTAAGGTACTAAGCGGACTTCTCGGACGTCGTCTCCTGCGAGGGGAAAGTGTAGCTGCGAGGAGGGTCGCAATGGTGGATGTGCTTCCTTGTCTTTTGGCCGTCTTTGACCGCTGGTGTGGCCGGATACTACGTTTTGTCCCTTTGCAGCTACATTGATCACTATCCCCAAGCCCGTTTCCCGCTGCTCATGACTCGTCTTCCATATACCCCCTGTCAAGAGCTGTTATATGATCCAGGCTTTTGTAGCTGAGGAAATACGTCCTGGGACAATCTACTTTATCTCGCTGGACCTTGTAAAAGACTTCAAAATCGGGTTTCCGCTGTATACAGGGAATGGAAACGGAAAGTGTTGCAATAGCAGTAGGGGATGCGGGAGAACACGGGAGTCACGTGAGTAATCACGTGACTCACCGTCCGGCAGAATGTGGGGTCCATACCCTTGCCAGCTGAACGCTGGCAACAGTATTATTACCTTAATAATCCATGACCACCTTCTAGCCCATCACGATCGTGATCCTTGAAGTAAGGGCATCTTCCGTGACGGGAATAAAACCAACAGAAAGCTACTGAGAGCATATAATAGTACGTCATTTGCAACTGACGCCGACCCTTTTAAACCACATACATGTGTAACCTCATGGATCCTAGGGCTGCTCTTACTCCGGCTCTCGCAATTCACTGAAACAATCCCCCCGTCCTCCTCTCTCCATGCTCCAATCCTATGAATATTGTGAGCTCAAGAGTCGCGGCCAGGTAACCGGCCGCGATTCTCCCAAGCTCACGAAGAAGGCCGACAGCACGGGGTTCATTCCAAACCCAGCCGCCTCTCGGACCCATTCCTCAAGGGTGAGCTCAGCAACGGGCGCGCCGAGGATGCCCTCCATAGACTGTCTGAAGCCCGACAAGGGTACGACGACGTCGCCCACAACGTGTCGATAGCGGACGCCTGCCTCTCCGTTTGTCTGTTCCTCGATGATGCCGGCGTGGATGTTGCGCATCATGCTCTTAACCGCCTGCTCCAAGGGAACCATGCTGAGAAAGCCGCTCAAGTTTGGAAGCACGCATACTGCCTCTGTCAGCTTGCAGTATTTGAACAGGTTCCAGATGATGTCCATGTTAGCTGGCTCCTCCGACGCATCCTGCCCTGGCGCGTTGTTATGATTGCTGTTATTGTCATCGCCGCCGCCGCGCTGCACACTGGTGAGGCGGTGAATCCAGACTGACCATCCGTCGCCACGACCTCCTTGCTCTTCGGCACAGCCGTCGTTTAATTTCTCCAGATATCGTTCGCTGGCCCATTTGGACGCGCTATACCCGTCGAAAGCGTCGGCGGCAGGTGGATAACGTGCGGCAGACTCCTCGCCGAACTCCTCCAGGCCGGCGTATTGCAGAACGCTTGCCGTCGACACGTAATGGATGGGGATCCTCTTGCCGACCAGCAAACACATATCCACAATCTCCCGGGTGGCTCCCAAGTTGGTCCTGCGCAGGGATGAATACGTCTTGAGGTGGGAGGTGTCGGCGCCGTTATGGATGATGAGGTCCGCCTCGCCGAAAATGGTGCGGGCCCGGGTCTCGCCCAGGCCCAGGCGGGCGAGTCCGAGGTCTCCCTCGCTCACTACTACCTTGCCGTGCCTCAGAAGTGGGAGAGATGACAGGCGGGCAGCGGCGTCTCGCACCCCGATGCAGTGAACCCGGTGGACGCCTGAATCGGCGATCAAGGCTTGCAAGTACGCTTGCCCCAGCAACCCCGTCGCGCCCGTCAAGACGACGACGACCGCGCTGGGCGATGCCGGTTGATGAGGGACCGACATCTTGAGCGCTGCCAACGTTGTCTCGGCCATGTCCGTCTCGGCATCCCAGTCGAAAGTGCACGTGGTGGCCGGCTCGGAAGACGACAACCACCCGGGTGATGTCGAACCAGCGTCGTCAACCAACTTGGCCATGGCTGCCAGGCTGCTGGAGGCGAACAAGTTCACCAAGGGAACGCGCAGCCCAAACTCGCGGTGGATGCGCGCTTGCAGTTGAAGCAGCAGCAGCGAGGTGCCTCCGACGTGAAAGAAGTCCGTCTCGCTCGTCACGGTGCGCAGACTTGTGACGGCAGTCGAGATGACGTCGTACCAAACGCCCTTCAGCCGGGCTTCCGTCAGAGACAAGGCGGCGGCGGCTGCTCTTTCGCCGTTGTCGGCGCTTCCATCGTCGTCTGCGGATGCCGCCTCGGGCAACGGAAACAGGGCAACGGCCCTGCGGTCCAGCTTACCAGACATGGTCCTGGGAAAGTCGGGCACCGGCACCACGATGGCAGGCCACATGTACTGCGGTAGCGGCAGGCCCGAGGAGAGGCGACCGAGAAGCGTCTGCCGCTCGTGAGCATCTGCCGGGGCCTCGTACTGATTCAGCTTGACATGTGCCACCAGGAACTCGGCGCTTTGCGGCGTCGAACGACGGGCGGTGACGACAACTTCGGACAGGAAGCCGTGCGACTCTTCGAGGATCGCCTTCTCCACTTCCTGAAAGTCGACCCGCAATCCCCGGATCTTGTGTTGCGTGTCTCCGGACCGACGACCTTGGATCACAAGCTGGCCGTCGGCGCGCCAGCGGCCGTTATCGCCGGTGCGGTGCATGGTGGTCCAGCCTTGTGAGAGGAATGCTGCCGGCGCCAGGTGGTCTGGGAGGAACTTGTCGGCCGTGGCGCTCTCCGTCTCTGTCCCCGTCTCTGTCTCTCCCAAGACGTAGCCAGCAGCAACGCCAGCTCCGCCGACGAATATCTCACCTACCACGCCCGGTGGCACGGGGCGGAGGCTCTCGTCGAGCACGTATACGGAATAATTTTGCAATGGCCTGCCCGCGGCGGGAGGCAGCTGCTTCGCGTCGTCAGGGCCCAGAACCCCAAACGTCGCGAAGAAGGTGATCTCGGTAGGGCCGTAGATGTGCATGACACGCGGCAGTTGTCCTTTGCTCTGGCGCGGGCCGCGGACTGCCAGGAGCTCGACCACAGCGTCGCTGCCGGGCTCTCCTCCGCTCACGGCCGTCCTCCAGCTGCTCACTCCAGCGGCCAACAGGGCTCGGTCTCCGTAGGTCAGCCAGTTCTTGTACTCGGACGGCACTGCGCATGTCACGGTCACACCCTCGGCCGCCATGATTCTGGTAATGGCGCCGGCATCGACGCGCTGCGCCCGCGGCACGATGCAGAGTGTGCCGCCGTACGCGAGGGCCAGGAAAGCCTGCAGGTAAGCCATGTCGAAGCCGATGGAGCTCTGTTGGAGGACGACGAGGTCGCCGCCTCCGCCACTTCCAGTGCATGTGTCCGTTAGCAACCGGGGCACGGTGAACTCGGCCCAATTGGTGAACCCCTCGTGCTTCAGGCGGATACCCTTGGGCGTCCCCGTCGATCCGCTGGTGTAGAGCATCATCGCTGGGTCTTGGGGTCCCGGCGGTAGCCGACCACGTGCGGTCGATGAGGCGTGTCCCAATGTCGCCGCCTCGATGCGGTCGACTCTGAGTATTCTCACGCGCTCTTCGTCGCTGATGGTGGTGCCCAACGCCCCCGCGGCCTGCTCCGCCGTCGACGCGTCGACGAGGAGGATGGTGGCCTTGCTGGAGGCAACCATGTCGGCAAGACGCTTTACAACGGTGCCGGCGTCGCAAGGAACGCACACTCCGTTGATGCTAAAGGTTCCCAGCACCGAACAGATCCAGTCGGGCGTCGATTCCTGGTAAACAACCACGGACGCTCCGGGGGCGCATCCCACCGCCACGAGGGCGGCACCGATGGCTCTCGACTTGGCAATCATGTCTCCGTATGTCATGGACGGGCCGCCGTGGGGTGACTTGAGTGCCAGCGAGTGCGGGTGTTCTTCTGCGAGTGCCTCGATTCTTCCCAGGACCGAACCGTAAGTCCTTGTCCACTCGGACGGCGAGAAGTCTCCTAGAGCCACGCGACACGTCAGCATACACTAGGTTCTCAACTGGGGGGGGGGGGGGGGATTGCTATCCAAACTTACCCTGGCCAAAGCCGAGAGCAAGCTCAATCTCTGACGTCTCGTAGATCTGTGGCGCGGAAAACACTTGACCGGGATTCGTCACAAAGGCCATCAACAACTTCTCATAGGCCCCGAGGATGATCTCGGCATCTCGTACAGTGTACATGTCCTGGCGAACAATTAGCACCAGATGGCAGCCGCCGTCTTTACCATCGTCGGTGATGTCGAGTGCCACGTCGTACGGCACCGGTGGCAGCGCGAACGAGAGCATCTCGAGCTCGCAATCCCCCCATTGTTGCCGTTTGGGCAGTCCCTGGCGGTAGTCGAAAAAGGTTTGGAAGATGGGCGGGTGTGTCGACGAACGGGGGACGCCGAGGCTGATTTCGTTTCACGAGATTAGCCGAGGGACCAAAAGCAGACTATGCGTGACGTTGCGTATATTCACACCGCCGTAGGTGGACAGCAGGGTTTTTCAACTTACTCGTCGAGTAGGGCCTGAAAGGGAACGGCCGAGTGCGCCAGGGCCTCGTCAGTCGTCTGCTTGGTGTCTCGGACCGCCTCGTCAAAAGCCAGCTGCGGATCGCTGAGGAATCGCAGCGGGATCATGTTGACGTAAGGGCCCAGGCTCTCCATGGCGTCGTCGTGAAGCCTGTTGGCGTCGGCTATGCCGATGGCGACCTCGTCGACGTCTGCGAAGCGTGCCAGGCAGGCTCGGAAGACGGTGAGGAAGAAGTGGAACGGTCGCACTCCGTGGTGCCGACAAACGTCCCAGATGCGAGACTTGGTAGAGGCCTCGACTTGCAGCTTGGCCTGATGGTTCCTGTACGCGCCTTGCTCCGAGCGGCTCACGACCGACGAGACGCTTAACAACGGCAGCGGAGACGGGCACGACGCGAAGGTTTTCCTCCAGAAGGCGAGGTCGCTTTCCCACGCCCCCTCGTGCATGGCCTGGATCTGGCTCTGGGCAAACGACGAGTACTGATAGACGGCATCGGCGGGAGTCATGTCGCCGTCACCCTTGTACAGTCGGATCAGCTCGTTGTTGAGGATGGCGGACGAGAAGCCGTCCAGGACCAGCGAGTGCGTTCCGTATAACAGGAAGTGTGTAGTGGGGGCCAGGGTAAGCAGCACGATCCTTAGACACTCTCCAGCCGAAACGTCGTAGCTGTAGGCGTGGAGTTCTCCGGCGACGTCGTGAGCCTCCTGCTCGTCGACGATGCGCCGTCGTTCCAGCTTCAAGAGGCTCCGCTCCATGATGCCCGCCTTGGTTCGCCCGTCGACATTCTCGAAGCAGGTCCGGAGGATATCGTGGCGCTGTCCGAGCTGCAGTACAGCCCTTTCCAGCTTGTCGACGTCTACAGGACCCGTCAGACGGAACATGCCAGTGTGGTTCAGGCCAGCACCATCGTCGACAAACGAAAGCACGAACCAGAACATCTTCTGGCTGAAGGAGGGCTCCAGCCAGCGGGATACAGCCGGCCTCGCTTCGAAGAGCTTCCCATCTCCGTCTGGGGCGTCTTCGTCCACCGCTGGGGGGGTGATGGCTCGGGACGTGGTAGCAGTGGTTATGTCACCCAAAGAGGCCGACGGTGATGTCCAGGATTCCGTCTTCTTATCGCTACTGCTGTCGAGATCGGATTGTATCTCCGGTTCTATCTCGGCCTCCGGGTCCACTTTTGTCTCCGGCTCCGACGCCGACCCTACAATATCCACAAGAGACGCAGAACGATCCGGAGATGGGGGGTCGGCGGGCGTGCGTTGTTCCACATTGGGTACCAAGTCGCGGGGCAGCTGGTCGACGCCCATGTCCACCAGCTGGTCGACCGACACGCCGCTGAGGATCTTCATGACGGGTAAGTTTACATTAATCGTCTTCAACCACCACGTCCTGATCTCCACGGCGAGGAGAGAGTCGAGGCCCATGTCGTCGAGCTTCACGCACGAGAGCTCGTCGACGTTGGCCTGATCGTCACCGCCCGGAAACTGGAACAGAGAGCGGACAAAGGGTACGAATCCGTCTTTGACGATGCGGACGGCCTCTGCGCGGGACGTGGCCGACGCGAGCAGGGCCCTGACGGACGCCCTGTTGTCTCGCGAGCCGCGTGCAGTCCCCGCGGCGCCTGCGTCTTCGCTTGTGTTTCCGTCTTCGTTGCGGATGAAGTGCGTGATGGTGGGGTTGCTGAACCAAAAGGCTTTCTTGTCGGCATTTGCGCTCTCTTTCTGCAGCCCCATGGCGATCTCCAGAGGCCCGCAGCGACGGCCAGAGACGTCGCGGGCGCGTCCGGCGACGACGGCCTCGGCGAAGTGCTGATGGAAGTCCTGTTCAGAAGTGAGCGTGTAGCCCGAGGTGCGGGAAAAGTTGGTCTTTGATGTTTCCGTCTTTTCCGAGACGTAACCGACGCCCAGGACAGCCGCGATGTGCATGACGGTGGCGGCGAGCCCTCTCCGCCTCCGCGCACCTGCCAGTCCCGCCATGAACAGATTCGCCGCCGAGTAGTTGGACTGGCCCGGGTTTCCGGTGACGGCAGTGAGGGAGGACAGGAAGACGAAAAAGTCGAGGTCGATGTTGCCCAGGAGGCTCTCGAGGTGCACGCTGCCCCTGACCTTGGGGTCCGTCACCACGCGCATGTCTCGCAGCGACATGTTGTCAAAGGCCATGTCTTTTAGCACCATGGCGCCCATGGCCACGCCTCCGAGCGGCGGCATGACGGCGTGCATGTCCCGCAGCAGCGCTTCCGTGTGTTGCCAGTCGGTGAGGTCGCTGAAAGTCTCTGTGTAAGCTGAAGGAGTCCGTTGGGATGAAACTGAAGTGACGAGGCAAAGGGAGTGAGGCGGGGGGGGGGGGGGGAGCACAAAGCTGTATTGCCACTTACTTTGAATATATTTTGACGACGACCGAGCGGTCTGCCATCTTGGAAAGCCACGACGTAGAGACGTTGGGGCTGCGGCTTGTGATGACGAAGTATCTGGCCCCTTGGCCGACCATCCATTCGCATAGGGATAGGCCCAGGCCGCCCGTGAGCCCGGCGAGCCAGTACGTCTTGGTGTCGGAAAACAGGTGCTGTTCCTGGGGCCGCTGGTGGAGCTGAAGCTGCTGGTCGATCGTCGTCACGTTGACCGGACTCTCGTCGACGCCGTCCCACTCGACGACGACACGCAGCTCGGTAGCCTTTGGCAGCAATGCGCCTGCGTCACCCAAAGCTGCCTTGGCGATTTGTGCTATAGGCATGAGTCGGATATTGGTCGTCGTGTTGGACAACAAAAAGGGCGTGTCCTGCAGGGCGTAAAGGACGGCGTGACGGAGGCGGTGGCCGAGGGTTTCGGCGTTGGCATCAGCACCGTCACCGTTGAAGAAAACATCACCATGGCCGAGAGGCCGAACAGACGTTGTCTTGTCGCAAATCATGCCGGCCAACTCGACGACGCGGCAGCGCTCAGGCAGGCGAGAGATGATACGGCCAACGACGCCGTGTCCTGCGTCATGGCATATCAAGAAGGCGCTTACGCTGGTGGACACGCATCTCTCGACGGCCCGGAAAGGAGCGCAGGGGTGGATGAAGGACCAGCCCAAGAGCTCGCAACGCTGCCGGCTGGTCTCCGAAGTCAAGATATCCACGAGGACCCCGCGGTCTTTGGCTTCTCTCTGCAGAATGGCCGCGAGGGCTGACTCCGGCTCGTATGCCACGAGTTTCTCGCCGCGGGACAAGCCCCGGAGCACGTCAAAGGCTACGAGGTTCAAGGCGACGAGCCACAGGAACCGACCAGCGCCGTTCGGGTCCCGGAGGAGGCGTGCTCCGCCTTCGTCACGAACCGGTACCACGGTCGACTTGTCTAGAGGGCAGACGGCAGACGAGAGATGGTCGGACAGCACGACGCGCGGGACATTCTGCGCATCCCAGGCGAGGTGGACGTGGGCTCTCCTGACGCCGACGGAACACGCCCGCAACAGAGAGTGCGTGACGTTGACGGCCTCAGGCTCGGCGCTCTCCTCAAGACAGAGGATTTTACCTTGTGCGTCGCGTCGGATGCTGACCACGCGGGTAGCCTCGGACTCGGCTTTCAGCCTTCGCGTCTTTCCGATGGGCCTTCGAGCCGAGTTATAGCGGTCGTTCATGTCTCGGTCCGGGACGAAGCGCGGGATGAGCAACTGACCCTCTCGGTCGAGGACAAGCTCCCTCTCGGCCGTCAAGAGCATGGAGCTCGCGCCCTTGGTAGCCTTGTCCTGCTGGTTCCAGGCTGCTGAGGCGGTGAAATGGAGGAGGGCCTCTGTCAAGGCATCGGCCGTCATGGCCTGCGTGTCTTCAAAGTCGAGAAATTGGAAAGACAGCGTCGGGATCTCGAGGAGTAGTGAGCGCACCAGTCCGACCGTCACTACACGGGACGGGGAGCCTCGGTCAGCACAGCACAGCACGGCTACGATGTTTGGACGACCGACGATCAATGGGGGCGGAGGGGGGAAACTTACTGTTGGCAAAGGGTTCCTCGGCCCTTCGTCCATGAGTGATCCAAAGAATCGCGCGGGCGCTGTTCAAGATGGTCTTGATTGCCTCGAAGGTGGCATCATCGAGGCTCTTCATGACAGGCTCCTCGGCGTCGCAGAGGCTCAGAACGGTCGTGGTAGCCGAAGAGAGCGTCCCGAGCGAGGCGGCCTTCTCGAGGCCATCGACCTGCACGACGTGGCGAAAGTACCGCTCGAGGAGAGGCTTCAACGACCGACAGACCGAGCCGTCCGCGGCGCCAAGTCTCCCACCACCCACAATGACAAGATCCTGCAGGGCGGGAGCCACCGCGGTCAACTTGGCGACGTCGGCCGGCGAGAAGGAGAGCGGATTGCGGAGGAAGCTGACGCCGGGGTCGACGGCCTGCGCGACAAAGACGGTATTGGACGCCAGCAGCGGGTGGGCGATGGGCACGACCGAGTCGACACCGCCGAAGCCGGCACCCCGGAGGAGGCGATCCCACTCGGGCAGCGGCACGAAGGGCCCCAGGACGCGGCCGTCGCCGCCGCTGCTCTGCGCGCCCAACCACCAGCCGGGAAACGTTCCGAAGATGGCGCCGCAACGGGCCACGTCGTTGTCGACCCCCTCGTTGAGCAACAGCCAGCCGCCCGGCCTCAGCAGCTTCCTCGCGTTCTTGAGAGACTGTGCGAGGACGGGCGTCGCGTGTAGCACCATGGAGGCGACGACGACATCGTAGCTCTCGATCTGGAAACCCTGCTGGACCGGGTCCTTGCCGATGTCCAGAACCTTGTACTTGATACGCGAGGCGGCTGCGTGGCTGATGTGGTCCTGGAAATACTCTTGCGCTGTGGGGAAGAAGCCCGACGAGACGTCCGTGAAGACGTACGACGCGAAACTGTCACCCACGGTTTTGAGGATGGCCTTGGTGGCGCCCCCCGTGCCCGCACCGACCTCGAGGATGTTCAGATGAGCATGCCTATGCGTCATCTGCTTGACGGTACTCGCGAGATTCTCGGTGGCCTCGGCCATGCCGAGGGCGTTGGGGTAGTAATCGTTCAGCAGCTTGTCGCGCATGCTGACCTCGATGGCCGTCGTCTTGCCGGTGACAATGTCAACCATGCTGTCGCCGATCCTGTTGAGGAGCTGATAATCAACCACGTCAACGTAGGGCTCGGCGGCGGCGGAGAGTATCTCGCGCGTGTCGTTGGACCACTCGGCCTTCCAAAAGGGCCACCGGGTGGCCGCGAGAGTCTCGACGTGTTGAGCAAAGCCGAACAAGGGGCTCAGAAGGTGCTTGTCGCCGCGGCAAGCGTGGTCGACGGGGACGGAGCGCTGAAGGCGTCGCAGGAAGAACAGGGAAAGCCTCTCGAGGAACTCGGCCAGCTGCAGCTTGCCCCCGTCGGAGCCGGCCGGCTTGCCCGAGGTAGCATCGGCAGACGCCAGCCTGTTGGCGTCTGGGGCCGCGCGATCCCATACCAGGACAGACAGCAGCTCCTTGTCGTGCTGGGCCGTGGCCGCCGAGAAGGGGACGCAATGGAGACCCTCGACCTGAATTATGGCGCAGGCCGCGTCGTCGTCGTCGTCGTAGTCGTCGACGACGACCGGGCTTGGGGGTGGATAAAGGTCGACGTCGCCCTTGAAGATATGTCTCAAACCGCTCGGCTGATAAGAGTCAAAGGGGAGCTTCTCTGCAGTGGGCATGACCTTCTCGCAGGCTCCGACGTCGACTAAGACGCTTTCAATGGTCTTGGGAACATGCATGCTCCACAGGCTCCCATCGTACGGCATGGCGCGGGCGAGCAGGACAGCCTGGAACGCCGCATCAAGCGTCGCCGGGTGAATGAGCAGGTCCGTCCGCTCCTTGTTGGGTGGCGTGGCAACCCAGCCCCGGACGAAGCCCAGCCTACGCCGAAGCCCGGACAGGGCGCGGAAGGGACCGGAATACTCGTACTCCAACTGGCTCAGCGAGCTGTAAAAGTCGTCCTCCCTAACGGGCAGAGTGTTGTCGGCGAGCGGGCCCCGAGCGGGTAGCGTCAGTGGTAGCGGCGGCGGCGCTGCTCTTCCTCCTCCTCCTCCTCCTCCTCCTCCTCCTCCTCCTCCTCCTCCTCCTCCTCCTCCTCCGTTGGAGTGCTCTTCGGGGACGAGGAGGATCTCGAGATGGCCAGAAGCCAGCAGGCGGAGGGGAGACTCGGCTCCCATGCTTCGCGTGGTGCCCGAAGAGGACCCCGAGTAGGTGAAGTTAGCCGTGATGGCATGTCTGCTCGCGTCGTTGACGATGCTGTTTATCGCAAATACGGCCTCGACCTTGGAGTCGTCATCGTCAAAGGCCATGGCTTGCTGGATATCCACTTTGTGGACTCGGATCAGGCCCGCGCGTTCGGTTCCGAGTCCGAGTCCGGGCGGACGCATCGCAACGAGCTCCCTGCCGGCCTCGATGGCTAGAACGATGTACCCGGCGGCGGGGAAGACGGACTGGTTCTGTAGACGGTGGCCGTTGAGCCACGGCATCTCAGCCGGGCTCAGGAACTGCCGCCATCGGAGCTCGTGGCCCCGAGACGACTCGCCCATCAGGTGTCCGAGTAGCGGGTGAGGCTTCCCCCTGTTCAAGACGGCGTTGGCGAGCCTCGAACGGTGCCAGTGGCGGGCGTCGTGATCCCAGGAATACGATGGGAGACCCTTGATGACCCTCACCGGCTCACCGCCAGACATGAAGGCCTCGTACGCTCGCAGGTCGAGCGGACCGAGGTGCGTCCAGATGTGTCCGAGCCCTTGAGCCACCGAAACCACGTCGTCATGGGCTCTCCGGAGCAGACCCGTGTACGGCACCGTCCGTCCTAACATTTCCTCGAGAGTCTGCGTGGCCGGAGTCTGCAGGGCCGGATGGGGCCCGACCTCTATGACGGCCTGCATCTCGGAGGCGCCAGGCGACGAACAGACTCGCTGTAGAGCCTGCATGAACAAGACGGGGCCGACGGCGTTCTGCACCCAGTATGGGCCTTGGAGGCTGTCCAAAAAGCCGTCGCCGTCGTTACCGATGTTGCTGCCAGTGACGCTCGATATCCATGCACACCTGGGAGGAGAGACGCGGATGTTCAAGTCTCTGAGAGAACGGCCGTAAGGTCCCGCAAACGGCGCCATGTGATGAGAGTGATACGCCTTGTCCACCTTGAGCAGGCGGGCGAATTTGTTCTCGTCCTCAAGAATAACCTGGATGTCGGCAATGGCGTCCTCGTCTCCGGAGAGCGTGAGGCTCTTGAACGAATTGTAGGCCGCGATGGATGCCCGGCCGCGGAAGACGTCCGAGTCAACCAGCTCCAACGCATCCTCCGACGACACGCCGACCGCCAGCATAGATCCCTTCTGGTTGTCCGGTCCGCACGCCAGGCGGGTGTGTAAGCCACGGTAGTAGGCGATGCAAACAGCGTCGGCAGCTGACAACACGCCGGCGGCGTACGCAGCGCCCATCTCGCCCGACGAGTGGCCGACGACGGCGGCGAACTCGATGCCCAAAGACCGCAACATATCTACCAGCAGGACCTGGACGGCGGTGCAGAGCGGCTGGCTCAGCTCGGCTTCGGCAACGCGCGAGTCGTCTTGACGAGTCAACTCCTCGCGCAGAGACCAGGTTGGGCGGTCAGCAGGCGGCAGCTGCGCAAGTCTTTCCTCCAGCGAGGCTATCCTCGATGCCGCCGCGGTCGATGCCGCGAGGAGACGGGCGCCCATGGCGGGCCACTGGGCTCCCTGGCCGGTGAAGACGCCCAGGATGAAGGGGGCCCGTCTTTCCGTGCTCGCGTCGCTGTCCAGCCGGAGCCTCACGATGCCCGAGGCGTTTGCGTCAGCACCTCGACACTTCTCGGCAAGCTTGGATCGGAGCTCGCTGACGCTCGATGCCGAAACTGCAGTCGCAAAGGGAAGGCGGCTACGGCGGCTGTGTAGCGTATAGGCCAGGTCTCGTAGGCTCACCAACTGTCCCTCGTCCGTGTCCAGGTAGTCGGCCAGGTTGCCGAGCTGCCTCCTCAACGACGTCTCGGTGGCAGCCGAGAAACAAAAAGGGGAAAACACCGGCGGCCTGTCGGGGTATTGCTGCGGCGATGATGGCGTGGCCGTCGCGTATGACTCGAGTATGGCATGCGCGTTGGTGCCTCCGAAACCGAAGCTGTCGTCGTCAGCAAACACTCTCGGGAACTCTTTTCCAACGGCGGCTTACTTATTAACGCTCGCGCGGCGTGGCTCGCCCGCCTCGGTAGGCGGCCAGGGTTCGAGCGACGTCGGTACGCGCAGGTTCGCCATCAAAGGCTCTATCCGGGGGTTCGGCCTCTCGAATAGGAGGTTTGGCGGAACGGCCGCGTGCTTCAGAGCGAGCGACGCCTTCAGGACGCCAGCAATGCCGGCCGCTCCTTCGGCGTGGCCGCAGACCGTCTTGATGCTTCCCACTAGGAGTGTGTCGCGCCCGCGCTCCTCGTTGGTCTTGGTGGGTCGCCCGCCGAAGAAGGCCGAGTGTATGGCTTCGGCTTCAATGGGGTCTCCGGCCGGCGTTCCCGTTCCGTGGGCCTCGAAATACTGGGGCCGATCGGCCGGACGGTGGGGATCCAACCCCGCTCGCCGGTACGTGTCCCGGATGAGAGCGGATTGCGCGCTCGCGCTTGGCCTGGGAGGATAGGTCAGCCTTGTTCAGTCCGTAACCGAAATTAGACCAAGAGGACCCTTACATGGTAATGCCGCGCGTCTTCCCGTCTTGGTTGACGCCGGTCTCTCTGATGACGCACTCAATGTCGTCGCCATCAGCCACGGCGTCGCAGAGTCTCTTCATGACGATAGTCGCTACGCCCTCGCCTCGAGCGTAGCCGTTTACATCAGCGTCCCACATACGTCCTCTGCCGTCAGGAGAGAGCATCTGAAGCTTGCTCTCACCGACATAGGTGACGGGGTCCATGATCATGTTGGACCCGGCGGCGATGGCGACCCGAGATTCTCCCGACCTGAGCAACTGGACGGCTTGGTGCACCGCCACCAGGCTAGAGCTGCAGGCCGTGTCTATCGTCATACTCGGGCCGTGCCAGTCAAAGAAGTAGGATAGGCGGTTGGACATGAGGCTTCGCGCTGTGCCGAGGATGTGGTACATACCAGTGCTCTCGGGATCCCGCATCATGGACTGCTCGTACTCGCTGATCATCATGCCGACATAGCATCCCGTGTCCGATCCCCTGAGGGCCTCCATGGTCTGCCCCGCGGCCTCGAGGGCCTCGTACGTCGTCTCCATGAGCAGGCGGACCTGAGGGTCGAGCACCGCGGCTTCGGCAGAGCGGATTCCGAAGAAGCCTGCGTCGAACCGATGCTCGACGCCCTCTCCGGAAAGAAAGTACGCCCTCATGTCCTTGACGTTGCTGTGGCCATGATGCAACGGATCCGGGTGGTGAAAGCCCTCGGCGTTGAAACGTGACACCGGCAGCGGTCCGCCGACGTCCCTGGGATCGCGAAGTAGTTCCCAAAGCTTGGATGGGGTGACAGACTCGCCGGGGAAGCGGCAAGCACTGCCGATGATGGCAATAGCATGGCTTTGATTGTGGGGAGCCATTGAGATGCAGCAATGGTATGTGGTGGTAGGAGGATGGGTTGTGGAGATGTTAGGCTGTTGTTCGAAGTCCCCATGATATATCACTGCTCATCATGCTATCCGGGAGCTAACACTTTTCTCTTAAAACAGACATGCCTTCCATTCGTGTTCGGCTCGAAGTGGTGATACTGCGTTGAGAGAGCCCCCTGGGCCCGTTGCCGCCTGGATTCTCCGTGATGTCCACAGGACAATATATTAAACTTTGTATGACGATGAGTCGCACCCCGGGACACGCAGCGTGTGATTGACGTGAGGGTTACAACAACGAACACGACAGCCATGGAGACATCTCGGCTCTATGACGTATGTCTTCCTAGTCAGTGGCAAAGCGGACATCATTTCTGCGACGCCATGAGTGTCTTGCTGTCTAGGTGTAAGGAGAGGTCGAGCCGAGAATCCTGAAGGATACGAACGAGATTTAGACAAAAGTATCAGTCACCCAAGTCTTGCTCTGCTCCTAATCTCAAACAACTCATCTTCAACATGTCACAAACTTCCTACTTGGTCCCCATTGGCTCAAGCCTGACAGACATTCTCGCAGCACAACGCGGCGTCTTCGGGGGTCTTGTCCTTGCTGTCTTCGTCTTTTTACTGCCGACTCTCCATCTTCTCAGACGATGGGCGCTGCCCAAGCCCATCCCTGGCATCCCCTTTCGGCCTGAAGCGCCACGCAGCATCCTCGGCGACATTCCCGCCCTGCTGAAGGCCATGTCAGACCCAGACCATACATACATGCACTGGATCGAGCAGCAGATGCGAGAGCTCGACACGCCCATCATGCAGCTCTTCATACGTCCATTTTCGAGGCCTGTCCTCGTTCTTGCCGACTTTCGAGAGGCCCAGGATATCCTCATGCGGCGCAAGGAGTGGGACCGGTCAGATATGCTTCGCGACCTCTTTGGCGGCCTGATTCCCGGCCATCACGCCCGGGAGCGCACAAACGAGGTGTGGAAGTCCCACCGCCGCCTGCTGCAGGATCTCATGTCGCCGCCTTTTCTACACAACGTGGCCGGTCCGGCCGTGTACGCCAATGCGCTGAACCTGATCCGCCTCTGGGACGTCAAGGCCGGCATCGCCCGGGGCCGGCCCTTTAGCGCTAATGACGACGTTTACAAGTCGGCCCTCGACGCGGTGCAAGCCTTTGCGTTTGGCTCCGACTTTGAATACAACGCGACGAGGCCCAACGTGGAACTGCTGGATGCACTAGGTGGTGATGACATCCGGGCATTGCTGAGCGCTGGCGGCGGCGGCGACTACGCCGGTGAGGACGCACCCGTCTTGTTCCCCGAGGCGGAGCCACATGAGGTCGTCACCGCTACCCTGCAGCTCGCGGAATCGGTCGAAAAGGTCCAAGGCTGGCCGTCCATGTCTCTGGCTTGGAAGCTCTTGCGTCTCATGCCAAGGCATCGTCGCGCCGAGCGTATCAAAGACGCATACATCCTCACCGAGCTCAAGCGTGCCGTAGGAAACCTGCAGCTCTCGCACTTTGATGATAAGAACCACGAGCCGCGTTCGGCCGTGGAGCACATGACGCGCCGCGAGGCGAAGATGGCCGAGAAGATGGGCAGAAAGCCCGATTTCTACTCGCAGGACATGATCAGCGAGGTAAGTAATGACAACATTGAGCCCTGATTTTTCGAGAAGCGGGCAGCAGGATAACCAACGACCGGTCTCCCGCAGACATTTGGTTTCGTCATTACCGGCCACGACACGACCAGCACCACTGTGCTCTGGGCTTTGAAGCGGCTGGCCGACAACCCTGTCCCGCAAGCGCGCCTAAGGTCTGCCCTCGTGGGTGGATTTCCTGGGGCGGTTTCGGACTGTCGGAATCCTTCAATAGGAGAGATCACGGGCACTACCATTCCCTACCTGGACGCTTTCATGGAAGAAGTTCTACGCGTGGCTGGCACCAATGCAGCGCTAGACCGCCAGGCCATGAACGACACAAAGCTGCTCGGGTACCCGGTGCCCAAAAACACCGTCATGTTGATTCTCACCCAAGGCTACAAGGTCAGCAGAACCCCCTTCCAGATCGAGGAGGGCCGCCGCAGCCAGAGCAGCCAGGCAGTCTTGGACAGGGGCAGGGCTCGCAGCGAGTGGGACGCAGATGACGTGTCGAGCTTTAAGCCTGAGAGGTGGCTCGTCCCGTCCCCGGGAGCAACGGCATCGGAAGTACAAGTCAGCTTCAACCCTGAGGCGGGGCCTCAACTGGCCTTTGGCTTGGGAATGAGGGCCTGCTATGGCCGCCGACTCGCGTACTTGGAGTTGAGAATCATGCTCACCCTCATTGTGTGGAACTTTGAGCTTCTGCCCTGTCCCGATGACCTGTCAAAGTACAGCGCCAGGATCGGGGTGACGACGAAGCCAAAGTCGTGCTACGTTAGGCTACGCAAGATCACGCCATGATGTTCGGGACTAGAGTCACGCTCCGCCCCGAAATGAATTGTCGCTTGACCGTAGCTTGCGCAAGCATGAATCCAGGGTGGAAACGGACGTTGTCTGATCTCCGCGTCCCTTTATCCTCTATATACCTATATATTAAGCTAACCTTCCACTAACCTCCTTATAATTTTAACTCAGTTTTATCTTATACTATTAAATGCCGTGAGCTCTTAGTTAGTGTTGTAGTACATAAGGCGTTAATTACTGCTTGCGATTGATGGCGTCGTTTTTACAACAGTTATGAGCCTAGTTCGCTCTGGTGTGCTACAATAGTACAGCCCTAGAGTTTAGTGTCTAAGCGTTATAGACCCTATAGGTTTAAATCATACATAAAGCCTATAGATAGGTTGCACTAACTCTACTAGATTGATAGGTTAAATAGGTACCTGCTCTAGGGACGTAGTGGACCCTAGGGGGTGTTTAATAGCTTCCCTGTTAACCTAGTAATGATATAGGTAGATAGATTATAAAGATCGATTTCTACAATCTAAGGGGGTGTGTTGTAGTACATAAGGCGTTAATTACTGCTTGTAATTAACAGCGTCGTTTTTGCGATAGTCAGTAAACCTTATTTAACTACTAGGCTTAATATAGTAGATACTACTAGTAATAGTAGCCTAATGCTAGGCTATAGTAGCGTAGCTAGACTAACTAGCCTATCAAGGGCTAGTGTGAAGTAAAGAGATTTAAACGCAAGTAATTGTCACGAGTTAGAGCACACAGTAAGGCATATAAGAATAAGGGTCTAAGTGGCTTGTTCTATGAAAGAGTGACTATGAGAAAGAAAGGTCCTATATACAGGCTGGTTATACGAGTAATGATGGTTGCACACGTGAATGGGCACGTCGCAAGTCAGATACAAAGAGCGAGTAATGTATGAAGCTATCGTGACAGTAATATAGGTGATAGTAGGATACGTGTAATACACACACACTTAGGAACTAATAGTTCTACAACGTGACAAGTAAAAAGAAGGGAAGATCAGCAGGAGACATGGATGAGAAGCAAAGAGGACTTGTGGTTAACGCCATTAGGTTACACTTGTCTGGAGTAAATTACGAACAGGCGGTAGAACTTGGAAAGCCAGAGCGGGCATCCGGTGCGCCGAAAATTGCATCGACGATAAAAAAAACATTAACAATTAGACCGTCGCGATGACGCTTGCTCGTTTGTTTACTTAAGGAGGCCCTAAAATCGTCAACATCTGGTTTTGAAGCATGCTCTAGTCTCTCCAGTGCAGCCTAACGTTTCTCCTCATCACGCACTTTACCATCGTTCTTGTGTCCCCAGTTCCCGGCGGCACCGCCTGTAAAGCCCGACATGGAGCAAGAAGGAAACGCCGGCGTGTCCAAGATGTTGTCCCCACTGCCCCGGCAGCAACGTGCCGTGGTAGAAGACGCAGCTGGGCAACCTGTCGTCATCGCAGACGCGCCTGTTCCCGAGCTTCGACCCGACAGCATCCTTGTCAAGACGGTTGCAGTGGCCATCAACCCCTGCGACTACAAGCTAGGCACCCTCTGCCCGTCCCGCGGAGCCATCATCGGCACTGACTTCGTCGGCGGCGTCATCCAGATTGGCTGCGATGCAGCGCTGCTGCGGCCAGACCTGCGCGAGGGTGACATCGTCTGTGGACTGATCCACGGCTCCAACCCCGATGAACCAGATAACGGAGCTATGGCCCAGTATCTCCGTGCCCACCCTCAGTTGATCTTTAAGGTTCCCAACGGCATGGGTACAGCCGAGTCGGCAACTCTAGGGGTCGCATTGGCAACGTCAGCACTATCGCTTTGGGGCGCGCTGCGGTTGCCGGGAACGCCGCAAGAGCCTCGCAACGCGAGCAAGACTCCTGCGTACGTGCTCGTGTATGGTGCTAGCACAGCAATGGGCACCATGGCGTTGCAACTACTGAAGCTGTACGTTTTCCCTCGTCGGCCCCCGGACATGGTGGCCAGACAACCCCGGATCTAGATTGATAAGAAAGTTCCAGATCAGGCTACACGCCCATCGCCACCTGCTCGCCCAGAAACTTTGACCTCGTCAAGTCCTATGGAGCGGCCTACGCATTCGACTACGCCGACGAGGACGCCGCCATCAATTCCATCCGCCTGATAACAGGAGCGAACGGGCTGGAATACGCCCTCGACTGCATCGCAGATAGCTTTTCGGTCAAGTGCTGCTTCGGCGCCATGGCCCGCACCGGCGGCCGGTACGTTTCCTTGGAGCAGCTTCCAGAGGAGCTGCGTCCCAAACGGCGAAGCGTGAAACAGGACTTCGTCTTTGCCCTGGACATTTTCGGATTGCCCATCACGGCTTACAAGGGCTATGAAAGGGACCCCGGTTCCGGCAAGCATCAGTTTGCCGTCCGTTGGTACCGAAATTTTCAGCGGCTTCTCGACGAGGGCAAGCTGCGGGCTCACCCCTTGCAGCTTCTCGAAAGCGGACTCGAGGGCGTGGTGACGGGGCTCGACTTGCTTCGGTCGGGATCAGTGTCAGGTAAAAAGCTGGTAGTGTTTGTTTAGAAACCTCCGCCTTCGGAGTCATACGCTCTTCCGCCTGCCCATTCTTTCTTGATAATGAATTAGTATTGTTGGTAAGTGGGTGCGGCCGAAGAGCTTAGATCTGAGTGTGGCAATGAGATACGGGTTTTTTGACCAGAGGCCGTCGTGTTCATCTTCCGCTTAGCCAGGAACCTTTGGTAGATGGAGGTCCTTTGTGAAGAATCCCTGTGTCACGTCCAGGGAGATTTGACTTCTTCTCCTAGATCATGTGCTCCCGCTGGTGCCACAAGCTATTTAAACCTGTCCAGCTAGCAGTGAAGGAAGCCATGAGCGAGAGACCCTTGAGCCCCCCCATCAGACATACTGCATCACCCACTTCTTACCATGCCCTCGTCATTACCATCAACCGAGCCACTCGACAAAGGCACTGTAGGCCTGACCGGAGCCGAAGAAACGCTTCTCATCACACTCTACCACCGCGCCAAAGATGCCGAGTCTCCAGACCCCGTTCTCAATGACCGGTACGCCCTGGAGGCTGTCGCTCGTATACGCGCGCTTGGCTACGACTTCTCGCGCACCGATGCCGGCCGTGCGAATAGCGCCGTCACCGTGGCCACGCGAGCCCGCATCATCGATATTTGCACCGAGAGGTTTCTGGAGCGGCACCCCGGACCGTTGACGGTGCTGCATCTGGCTTGTGGCATGGACTCGCGCTGCCGTCGGATTGATTGGCAAGCCGAAGGTCGACTGTGGATCGACGTCGACACCGAGGATGCCGTCAAGATGCGTCGCCGAATCCTCCAAAGCCCAAGCCCACGCGCAGGGGAGTATCGGCTGTTGGATCTCAACATACTTTCCGAAGGATGGCTAGACCGCTGCGACATTCCCTCGGGACCGCCGGTACTGGTCGTCTTCGAAGGGTTGACCATGTATCTTACCGAGCAGCAGAATCTCTTCCTTGTTAGTAGCATCGTCAACCACTTCCAGAAGCGCCATGTGCCAGGGCAGATGGTCTTTGACGCCGTGGGCTCTGTGCTGTACTTCCTTATCAATACGGTTTTCAGGAAACAGCTAGAGCTGATGGGTACGCGCTTTTCTTCCTATTTAGATCATCCCAGGTCACTGGAGGAGAAAGTCCCCGGGTTGATTTATCGAACACGTGTGGCTCGATTGGCCGACGTCGGGATACGCGAGGGAGCGAAAGGCCGTCTCATCCGCTGCCTTTTGTGGGTCCTCGATATCTTCAACGTGGCCGAACGGTTTGGCGGTAATTACGTGTTTGAGTTCTAGGACGTGAATCGTGTGCGCACAAGTCCCACCAAAAAGGTTGAGGGTTGAGCAGGGTTGCTTGCTCCCGTACATACATACCCGGCCGAATATAGAGACGCTGTCAGACTTCCATCTTTGCGGACAGCCCGACAAGGTAGCAGTCGGCACCAATTGCAGATCTTCCTGTGAGCCTTACCCGCAACACTGTTGTACGATGTCAAGGGTGAACAAGGGGTCTTTAAACTATCACAGTAGCAATAGAGAACAATCGGCATTGGGTTTACCCTTACGGCCGGTTGAAGCCGCTGACAAACATGATGCAGGCTAAACGGCCTCGAGACTACTCCCTATGTACACCACGCCTCTGCTTTATTGCTCCCAGTTTGAACTAGAAGGAGATGGCAACAGTGGTTCATCAAGCTTCTTACCAGCTTCTGAGCAAGGACTTCGTATCCAGAGAGCCCTTCGATCGCGTACCGGAAAGTCACGATGAACATGGTGCTGGATTACCTCCACTGGTCGACTGCAGTCTACTGCGGCATCATCGCTGGTCTTTTTCTCCTTGCTAGCGCCGTTCGTCAGCCACCGTTCCCTAGTAACGCCCCTCCTTTAGCCAAAGAAAGCTATCCTGTCCTAGGGGCGTTGAGGTTCTTCAAGTCTCGAAGGAGTTTTTGTCAAGATTCTTCCCGCAGCACCAAAACGGGGAACTACAGCTTCCATGTTGGGAAACACCGCGTCGTAGGCCTTTCCGGGCTCGAGGGCCGCAAGGCATTCTACGAGTCAAAAGAACTCAGCATGTTCGAGGGGTACGTTTAAACCTTGTGTGGTCTTGATGTGTACACACATCTTACGACAGATGTTTATTACCCCATTCTCCAGCTATTCGGTCCTGTTAAGTGCCACGCCTGACATCGATCCTGGCGCGGGCGAAAATCAGTTCGTCTCATGGTTCAACAAAACCATCACGAAACTGTTGAAGAGGGAGAACTTTGTCAAGAACCTCCCCATAATGGTCAACGATGCAACGACCGCCATCAGCCAGCTTCTCGATCGCTGCGCGGAGAATCGTGGCGTTTTCGATCCCTTCGACGATATCAACAAGCTGGTCTATCAGCTCAACATGCGCACATTGGGTGCCACGGAGATTGCCGAATCTCCATCTCTGCTGGACAAGTCTCTCCGCCTCGTCGATGAGATAAACCAGAACAACAGCACTGCCCGCATCATATTCCCATTTGCCATCACCCCCACTTACCTTCGGCGCTTTGTCGCTGCGGGTCGTCTTTATCTCATGTTCAGGAAGCTTGAGCAAGATAGGAGAAGGACAGGTAGGCGGGAGCAAGACACCTTGCAATTCCTGATGGACGAGGGCGAAGATACCCTTAAGATCATCATGGTGAGTCATCTCGGAGAGTTCAGACGGCCCAGATGAGATGCTACCAAACGAAAGCTCGTCAAAAGCGCACAGAAACCTGACAGGATCCAACTCGTATAGTTTATAGTTGCCTCACTCTTCGCCGGCCAGCTCAACTCCGGGGTGAATGCCGCCTGGGTTCTCTGCCGATTGGCCGCAGACGCCAATTGGGCCCAACGAGTCCGAGCCGAGGTAGAAAGTGCAGTTGCGAAACGCAGGACTCGATCGGAGCAGACGGATTTGGATGTGCTTAGAGAGCTGACTATAGATGACTGGGAGTCGTGTTTCCCCACGACCAACCTCTGCCTGCAGGAGTCGATCCGCTTGCACACCGTCGGGGCCGCGTTCCGCAAAAATATGACAGACCGCAATGTGCCCATCGGTAAGACGGGCGAGGTCATACCTAGAGGTGGTTTCGCTGCGCTTCACATTGACGATGTCCACATGAACCCAGACATCTACACGAACCCCTCTCTGTTCGATCCTGGCCGCTTCTCCCCAGACCGTGCCGAGGACAAGAAGGCGCCGTTAGCATATGGCGGGTGGGGTCACGGACGTCATGTGTGCTGTGAGTCACTTCCTCTTCTGAAGCATCGTCTACTACGTTTCATGCTTCGCAATTTGCAAATACTAACCTGAGATGATGTTTGGAAAGTGGGCATGAGGGTGAGTTTTTCCAATCGAAACCCATCATGTCTTGGTCACAATCCAAATGGCTGACAGCATTTAGTTTGCTAAACTAGAGCATGCCATCATCACAGCCGTGTTTGTTACCATGTGTGACTTCAGTTTATGCGATACGAACGGTAGGGATGTGGACGGACTGCCCCTTATCAATCGAGAGAAGCTTGTTGTTGGTAGGCCTGACGAACCAATTCGTCTCAAGTGCTTCCCTCGCTGTTAGTGCCGAGTCCTAGCTTTAATGCATCAAAGAATAGATGATTAGTTATTGTTAAAGTGTGGCAATATACTAGCAATTTGGAAAGGTCTATAGCAAGATGGATGTTAGGTGTATTACTAGGATAGAGTTTACTACCTAAATAGCTAAAATCTAATAGTAGATACATTGAAAACCTAAGGTAATACTATAGCTGGAAATAAGTAGAGAAAATCCTAAAAAAATAGATAGTTATATATACTAGTAATTAACTAAGGATTATGGCTGTATTGACGTACTTCATTAGAACAAACGCCTCTCCAAACACGCCCGGGGGTCAGAGTAGCTTCATAGTGTCTCAAGACAAGTCCAGCATCATCCTCATCATCCAAAACAGACTTTACCCAGTCAGACTATGTTCCATACCGTCCGTTTACCGGAACAGGGCCCACCACTTCAGGTTGGCGAAGCTATCACAAAAGATGCTGCCTCCGCTCCATCTAGATGATTCCAGTGAGGGCTGGATTAGTAGTCAAGTCAGTAGGAAGGGGGTGCTGGCTTGTATAGAACAAGCGTTTTATACCTCCTTGTAGAATATAACATTGTAGTGTACTATCTGATTTATCAGTATATTTCCCTCTACAAAAAACTCTATAAACAAAAGTATAGACGTTATTCTGTATTAGAAGAATACGGTTATATATAAAGTACTTTCTATACTTTTGTCGCAAAAATGACGCCGTTGATTACAGGCAGTAATTAACACATTATGTCTCTTGCACAGCGATTCTGTGCGACACACCCCCCCAGGCCAGAGAGAGCATCTCAGCCTCTTTGGTCTGCATGCCTGAGTTAACAGGGAAGTCACATAACCTATCTAACAGAGTGTATGTATTATCTGCCTTCCAGGGTTGTTACGAGTAGGAATTAAACCCACGAGGTCTATGCGCTCAGCACTAACTACTACACTATGCTATTATAGCACAACAGAGCAAACTAGGCTCATAACTGTCACAAAAACAACGCCGTTAATTACAGGCAGTAATTAACGTATCATGTCTCTTACACAGCGATTCTATGCAACAACTTTCTATTTATACTATTCCTATAAGTTCTTATTATGTTGTAGAGGCACTGTTTAGGTAGGAAAGGTTATAAGGAAAACAGCTTAACTATCTATAGTGTAGAGATAGGTAATCTAGCTTAAAGAAATACGTATTCTTTAAGTAGGTCAGCTACATAAAGACAAGGCTTAGTGTCGGGATATCATCACTTGGGTTGCTAACCGGAAGTCGGTGGGCCGACTTCCGTGATCACGTGCTGTCCCACGTGATCCACCTCAGCCACCACTTTCACCTATAATATCTACAGCAGTAACTCCTCCTATTAAATCATAGGGATACTAATAGTTAATTAATTAATTATATAATATATAGATCTAGTTAAAAACCTATAGAACTATAGAAATTCCCCTATTTCTAGGTAGGGAAATCCTAGACTAATTATAGCTATTTGTTACAACCTAATAAGTTACAGGCTATGTTGCCCTACCTAACAGGCAGACGATAGGCAATAACAGTATTTATACAGACAAGAGAACAGGAATAGACAGATGACTCCCTAGAACAGAAGAACTATAGTACAAGTTATATAGAGATAAGAAAGTAATTATGTAATAAGGTAATTACTAGTAATTATAAAAGTAAGCGCTTACTAGTATTTACTAAGCGCTTACCTTATATAAGAATAGTAATTACTTATAACTATTAGTTAGAAAGAACTATTTAGGGAATAGCTAGGACTTATATATAGGATAGACTTAGACGTACTTAAGGGCAGACTTCTATAGCTTTTTAGTAATTAACTTATAATATATTTTTTAAATACCTTTTAGTATCTAACCTTAGTAATTTAATTAATAAGAAGCTATATAAGCACTAAGGCACCCTTAACTACCTAACTAATTACTAAGTAATTAATAAGACTAATAATAATAATAAACACTATTAACTAAGTATTAATCTTTACTTACTATTAGTAGAAACCTTACTATCTAGAAACTAGCTATAACACTTTAATTACTTTTATTTAAAGAGTTAAATATATATATATAATATAGTATAAATATAAAATATAATATAAATATAATATAGTTTAATATAAATATAATATATATATTTATATTATATTATATTAGAAAAAGAATATATATACTTATATTATATTTATATTATATTTATATTATATTTATATTATATTTTATATTTAATATAATAATATAAGATATAATATTATAAAGTAAGATATATATATATATATATACTATAATATATATAGTATAGTATAAGTAATAGAAAGAGTAAAGTCTTATTATTAATTATAAATAATATAAGTAAAATAGAATTAATACTAATTAAAATTGTTTATAGTAAATATAATTTATAACTATTAAAATAACTTTATTTTATATATTAAGACTTATAAATATAGTAATTTATTTAAGTAAACTTAGTTAACTAAAAATTTAATATATATATATATATATATATATATACTAACTATACTTAATAACTAGATTCTTCTTCTATATCTTCTACTTCTTTATCTTCTTCTCCTTCTTCTATAGTACTATCTTCTTCTTCTATAGAAGAGTATTTAAATTCTATATTAAAGAGATTACTATTAAAAGCGTATAGTGGAGTAATTAGGGACTCTAGTTATAATAGTGAAGTGCAAACAAATATAACAACATCTTATAACTTAAAGTAACTTAGTTATCTAGATTAATTATAATAAACCTTAAGGCTCTAATTAGGATTTTAATACTAATTAAAGACTTTAAGGTTTAATTAGAATAAGCAGAAGGCTCTCTATTACCTAAGTTATTACGTATTAGCTAAATTAAGTGTAAGGTAAGGCTCTTAATTAATAATTTTAAAAGTGTAGAAAAGGTTAGAAAAAGAAGTATAAAGATTCTCTATTTACTATAGCTAATTAGAAGGTTCTTATACTTTCTAGCTGCTAATTAGACTTTCTTCCTATATTAAACCTAATAATAACTTATAATCTCTGTCTTTACTCTAATTATCCCCTATAATTTTTCTAAAAAAGAAAAATAATCTAAAAAGAAAAATTATACCTAATATCTATTAGTCCTTATTCTTATTATCTTTATCTATATCCTTATTATTAGCTTTATCTTATTTAATCTCTATATTAAAGTATATCTAGTCTTCTTATTTCTATAGTCCTAATAGTAAATACTATAGTGTATATACTTATATAGTAAATATAGCCTTAGCTACTAAATCTTAATACTAATTAACTTATTTATATTACTTATAGTTAAGTATATACTTATCTAGCTAACAGTTTATATTACTACACCTTTATTACTAGTCTATATATTATTAAGTATACTAAATATATAGTGCTTCTTATTCTTCTTATTCTAATTACTATTCTCTTATTATATTCTTTTTTACCTCTTTTTATTTTTCCTAGACTCCCTTTAGCAGTAGTTTAGGTAACAGAGTTTCTATAACAACTTTAGCTCTCTTTTTTAGACTTTAGTGTTAGGATAAGGTATTCTTTATAAAGGATAGCTTAAATAATAAGTACGCTATCTTTAATTAGGGTGTAGTAGGTCTAATTAGCTAAACTATAAGGAGTTTTAAACTATTTACCTTCTAATAATAAGGTAAAGAAGTTAAGGGTATATTAAGACTTACTTTATTCCTATTTAGCTATACTACTTTACTTTATATTTTAGTAAGTCTTTTACTTATTATAGGGTTACTTTTTTATTTTACTTTATATTTATAGTCTATTAGGTTAAAGTTAGTAGTATTAAAGTCTATATTAGGGTTAAACCTTAAACTTCTAGACTAAGATACTTATGTTAGCGTCTAGTTTAGGTTAATACTTTAAATAAAGCTTAATATAACACTTAGTGTCTTTTAATTATAGTTCTACTTTTAACGTTTTTATTACTCTTTTTTTTCTAGGTATACCTTTAATAATACACTAGGTAATTAGTATATTATATTATAAGCGTTATTCCTAATAAACTAAAATTCTAAGCTAATCTAAGTAATCTAGTAGCGTTATACTTATTTACTATAGTTAATAGTCTAAGATTAATTATTATCTTAAAAGTCTATTAAAGTAAGGTATATTAATCCTAGTTAGAGCACTAATTAGAACCACTTAGTAATATATAAGCTATACTTCTAACTACCTATTTACTAGACTATATCTACTATATAAGCACTAGAATAAATTAGACTTAGTATATATAGTAAAGCCTTAAGCTTAGTGTAGAATTTTATAAAGGCTTTAATATTATTAATAAAGAGGGCTTCTAATTTTCCTTTATACTATATTAGGTTATACTAATAAATTATACTATCTCTCTAATTAATAATTAGACCTATAAAGTGTTAATATTCTATAGAAAAAAGTAAGAAAACTAAGATATTTATCTTCTATCTAATATTATTATATACTTATTTAGGTAGTATAGTAACTATAGGTCCCTAGTAGAGGTTAAAAGTACTCTCCTAGTAAAACTAAGCAGGAAGTCAATACGTAAGATAGTAAGATAGCTAGCATATACGTAACTAATCTAAACTATACTGCTATAACACCTCGTCGCTAGTGCACCCTAAGCGCCTATAAACACAAAGGTGACTTACTAACTCCTATCTAGGAGGTAATAACACTCTTAATTAATAGCCTTTAGCCTAATTAGGGCTAAGGTCACTAAAAGAGAGTCTATTACTAACTAGTAGTTAATCTTAAGTGGTAATACTATTATTACTAAGTGGTATAAGGTCTGTATATAAAAAAGCTAGACGTATACTAATATATTTATAAAAAAAAGGTAGCTTAATTAGGCTAATAAGGCCTAATTAGGCTAAAAAGGCCTAAA